AGATAACATGAATAGATCAAATGCGATACTGAATAAAGAGAGCAGGAATAAATTATTTAAGTTGATTCACAGTAAATCTATGCGCAAAAATCGCATGATTGATGAGATTTTTCTATGGACAATTCTAATCCTACCAATTAATTATCGGGAAGGTTCTTTAAACAATGTACACTGAACTAAGAAATTAATTTAATTGAAGAATAATCATGAAGTTTGCCTTCTATCACACCTAGAACGATAAACTACAGATGAAAAAAGGCCAACTTCTCGACCGTCTTCGGCTGGTCTAAGAGAGCGAATGTGGGGAGGCTGGTGCAGAGAACTGCTGAATCAGCGACGATCTCGGAGGATTTGCTGTGGTCTCGGCAACACCGCTACCGTGTATGGAGAAAAAATAACTTTCCGCGCTGTTTTCTGAGCATTTTCTTTACTATCAATCTAGGATTCATGCATTTTTCTTAATTTTGAAGCTTTTAGCTTGTGTAAATTGCTATGGACACAATTTTTAAGCAATAATTATTGTTGGAATTTGGTCGTAAGATCCATGGTTTGCATAACAGCTTTGGCGGATGCGTTCCGCTGTGATGCAGGGTTCCTACACCTCCGCTTAGGTTTCCACACCGCCGCTGTGATGTCAGGCTCCTACCCTCACGGCTGTGATGCCAGGTCCCCATCGTCACGGCAGTGATGCCAAGTTGCCATCAGTAATGCAAGCTCTCATCATAAACTGGTCCGCTAATTGGTGCGGATAGCAGGCGTGCGGCACGCGTCGAGGGTCCGGATATTGCCAGCGATCCGCCGGAAATGAGGCCGGGGCGCCCGTCCGTCCCCTCAATTGGAGAGCACCGACGATGAGGAAACGCTAACAACTGCGAAAAAAACGGGAAGGATGAGATTATGAGTAAATATGAGGGTAGATGTGAGCGAGCTATTGCGCCGTCTCAAATTGGACATAGATGGAGGTTAGGTAAGATCAAATTAACTTCCCTGATTGTATATGGTAAGGACGACCAAATTACCTATCTCTGTTGTACATGGTACGGATAACTAAATTACCAGCAGTATTGTACTTTTTAGGGAAGTCCAAATTATTTGTCCCGTTGTACGATGTCCCATGTTGTAGGGATAGATTAATAAGTAGCCCTAATATACAATGTACATCTCAGGGAAGACCAAATTACCTGCACTATTGTACAAGGTAGGAAGAGCGAATTAACTTTTCCTTTGTACAATATTAAAGAAAACGGAAATTTGCTATTTCCCTGTTTTTGTCTAATAATTAATAACCAAGAACATCATAGGTGAGCATCTCGCTATAATTTTAAAGCATAGGAGTTTGATCTTTAATTTCATATTTGTTCGTGTTTAATTTACATAATTGCGCAAAGGTAAACAATTATAGGTCGTTGAAGGATTAAGAGACATTAGTTGAGGGAAAGTATCGCTCACTAGAACAAAACATCAACTAGGCTTTTTAATCATGTGCGTCATTTTTGTTGATTGAGGTTTTTTTATGTCTGTTCAGAGATTAAATGAAAATATTCCTTGCATTACGAGATTTTGCTTATTCAAAGACATTTTGAATAAGCTGGTGTTTTTCTTCCCATATCCAGCAAGCAAGTCTCTTTTCTGCAATGAATTTCCTATGAACAATACCTTTTAAATTGCCTCCAGAATTTATAAGCTCTAATAAATACATGCTCGTAAATTTTTCACCCAATTTATCCCACGAATAAATTTCCCCAGTTTCGCCGCAGCAAAAATTGCTACCAGAAAATGCTGCCCTGTCTCGACGAGCGCTACCTGCTTGCCGCATCCATCAAAAGGAAATCCCGTAAATTGGATTGTTTATTTGCCATTGATATTATTAAAGGGGCCGCAGTACAGAAAGAGACTCGGTAATAAATTCAATCGGATTCCGAAGACGGGAAAGTTTCTTTGAAATTTTATGATACGCCAGCCAGACACGCAGATTCGTTCGTGTTGCTTAACCTATTCATTGCCAGAGTGCAAATAAGACGTAGCGTTATGAAGCGTTTACATTACTTTTAGAAATAAATTGTGTCGTAATGAATTATTTCCAATTTTAAGTGACTCACGAGGATCTATTATATTGAGAACTTTTTGCTCTGTAGCCGCCAATCATTAGATGCTTGAGCTCCTTTTGATTTCGTGATCAACAGAATCTTGATTCTGATTATGTGATTCACTTAATTTTTCTCTACAAAGTCTGGAAATATAGTATATTTTTTGCGACGACATTTGCCAGAGTATAAATACCTGTTCAAAAATGCCACCTGTTTCATTGCCTCCTTTATTTACTTGAGAGATTATATAAAGTTTATGAAACCGGATAATTTATTTAAATACATCGGAAACAGAAGATAATTAAAGAAGTTATTTTTTGTCATATGAAACCCAGTATTTCGTTACAATCGAACTTTGGAAGCTAAATAAACCAAAGCTTTGATCGTTTCCCCTCATTTGAAGATGAACTCATCAGGAGCAACAAGGATGGCAACGAGGGCTGCTACATGATCGCCAATTATCTGCACTGAAGAGCAGCCCTCGGCATGAGGGTAGAACTGAGGGCCTTGAGGGGAGATGGAGCGAGTGCTGCACGGATTATAAGGGACGTTCAGAGAAAAATAAAAAAATTATATACGAACGAGAGAATAAAGAAACAGTTCTTTGGAATAAAATAAAACTGAAAACTAAGTTTCATTCGAGAAAAATAAGAAAATGATGTACGAACGAGAGAATAAAGAAACAGTTTTTTTGGAATAAAAGAAAAGAGGAAACTGAGATTAATTCTATCTAAGTAAAAAAGTATGTATTAAAATAATAGAACAACCGTGATGTTATTACGTTAACTTAATTGAAAAGAAAGCAAAAAATTTCTGAAAATGTAGCAACACAATACTTTTCTATTAGTTCCCCTTTTCATTAACATTCATATTTCATCTTTCATCTCAAACATCGAAAATATTTTTTTTTCTTAGATTTTATTTCAAGTTCTAACATTTGTTGGTTCACTAAAGTTTTAGGCGCGCCTGAGGCGCCACGTGGCGGTGCCAGAGTCACGTGATCGCTGCCAGCGCCAACCTGCCGTTAGCCTCCCTGACTAGGAACTGATATTCTGCGCATTAGTTATTTCTTTTTCGCATTTCGTTTATTATTATTATTAGTTATTATTAGTTATTTTGAATTTCTTTGATATTTGCTGATACTTCTCTTATGCTTCATTTACTTTTGTAGGGGTTTAAAGACGAAAAGATAAGTATTGCTTCAGGTATCAGATGTTCAAGGCTCGTATCGAGACCGATATTTTTCGCATTTTTTATTTCGTATCAAAAAGTTTTAGGGATAACAAATTTAGTATTTCTTCACATCTTCGTTCTTTGCTATTTTTCGCACTCGCTCTTTCTTTCGCTAAGATTCCATAACAAAATGATCCATGTTATTTTAGATATTTACAGGATCTTATTGATGTAATGGCTGCCCAGTAAGGTGGCGATATATAGTGCATTCTATGCTTTAGAGTTAGAAGTAAATTCATGAAAGATAATTGTAATTGATAAAAAACTAGAAAAATTTCGCGCAGCATCATGCCTGATGTCATGTCTCGTGCAGCATCATGCCTGATGTCATGTCTCGTGCAGCATCATGCCTGGTCTCATGTCTCGTGCAGCATCATGCCTG